TGGTTAGGGAAGGTGAGAGCTGCACTCCAGCAATTACTGGAAAGCAACTTACTTTCCATCTCTCCCTTGAGGATGGTCATTTTTGCAATTTTATTTGTATTTTTCATTTTGTAAAAGTCACTACTCTGCTGGTGGAGCTGAGGTTAGCTCATTGCCTCATGCATTTCTATAAAGCAGTGGTTCCCAAACTTTGGTCCTCCAGATGTTTTGGACTTCAGCTCCCAGGATTCCTGACTGTTGCTCAAGCTGGCTTGGGCTTCTGGGAGCTAAAGTCCAAAAACTGAAGGAGCAAAGTTTGGGAATCAGTGAAGGAATATCACCATCTTCCAGAAAGTGCTTTTTCTCTAAAGAGGAAATAACTAAGCATGTATATCTTAGCTATATGTTTCCCCTTCAATAGCTTAGACTGGGTAGTGCAAAGGAAAGTCCAGAGCTTGAAAAAGTTCCTTTTTTGACTACAACTCCCCAAATTTCCCAGCCAGCATAGACAGTAATGTTTCTAAACTCTGGTTAAGCACCACCTCTCCCAGCACTTCAGCCCCAACCCAGATCTCTCCCTTTCTCTATCTTCTTGGCTACTTTTAGGCACATTTTTAAAAAGGGAGGTCAAATCACATTTTGGGCAGGGTCACATCTGGTTTCGCCTTCTGTCTGCTTGTGACAGTAATTTTCTAAGTTGTTTTTCAGGTGTGTGTCTTTCACAGCTTTCATTTTGTTTTTAAAATCTTGTGTACATGATGCAGGGCATCTTGTTAAGTGGAAGGATGATAATTTCCTTCTCCTCCTTCCCCCTCATATTCTACAAACTCACCCAGACCTCTAACCAGATACTCTGCTGCTGCTTTTTCCATTTTTTAAAAAATCCTTTACTTTGACCTGGGAGTGCCCAGGCATTCAAACTCTCCTGACTCCTCATACTTTGGGGTAGGGGGTAGAGAGTGATTTATTTTTCTTGTCTTTTTAAAACTGCGGGTTGGGGTAACTGACAGGGTTATCCAGTGAAGGGTTTATGAGAAGCCCATTAATCCCACAACAAGGCCTGGATCCTTTTATCTAAAACAACATGAGCTTGAGACATTTGCTCTAAGTACTTTGACTATCCAAACAAACAAGGGTCACACTTCACTCTGCCAGTCAAGCTGTCATCAGATTCTTCAGTCTACCAGCCCTTTCCCCAGTAAGCCACCCTTATGGGGAGACTGAACTAGAACTCTTTCCTGCCTTTCTAAAGGGAATCTTTGTTTGATGATTTTCCTTTGCCAAAAGATTTCCTAAATCCTAAGGTTGGGAAGTTTCCATGCCACCACTCCTAGGCTAGCTCACACGTGTAGATAAAAGAGTGATGTTTTTAGAATGGCCCAGGGCCTGAGCCACCATAATGTGGCCTTGATGGTACCTCACAGGTCATAAAGCCATTCCCAAATTGCCTTCAGCTTCCCTGATAATATCTCTTCATCTTCATAAACTGATTTAGTGAAAAACAAAAAATATATATCATGTATTCTTAGGATGCATTGTACTTCTTTAGGGGAATATGTTGTTGGGTGCCTTCAAGTCATTTCTGAATTATGGTGAACCTCTCATGGGGGTTTCTTGGCAAAATTTGTTCAGATGAGGTTTGCCATTGCCTTCCCCTGAGGCTGAGAGCATGTGACTTGCCCAAGGTCTCCCAATGGGTTTCATGGCTGTGCTGGGAATTGAACCCTGGTCTTCAGAGTTGTAGTCCAACACTTCATACCACTATGCCACACTGGCTCTTGACTATAGCTACTTGAAAAAGGAAATGAGGAAGATACTGCAGTCTTAAAATTCAGAAAAATCTCTTTAAAATATATACACTTGGTAAGCATGAACTGAAGAAAGGCAGTTCAGCCAAAATGCACTTTCATTTGCCTGTGTCAGATTAATACATTTACTGTGCAATTTGTAATCTTCTTTGCATCACATATTGAGCTGTAGATGTCTAAATATTGGCAATTTTTTACATGCCACAAAGATACAGAGATAGATATATATACACACACACACAATGTGAGTAGAGAGTATCACATGATACAAAACCTAGGCATGCCTCACAATCTGATCTGTAAGTATCCACAAAACAGACATTGTTATAAAATGATGTCAATGAGTTTCAAGGGTTTTTTTATACATTACACTTTTGTGAAATCTGATTGTATGGAATGAATGGATCTCTTTTTAAATATGATTTTGTTCAAATTGTTTGTATATTTTTTCATTTTGTGGACCCCTGATGAACAGCCTGCGGCTTGAAACATTAAACTTGTTCAACATGAGAAACATTTGGATTGTATGTTATTTCCTTGATATTGTTTTCTTACAGCTGTTTTTGCTACTGATCTAGTGACAAGAATGCAAATGTATAGACTCCTACCCTCTAGGTTTTTTAAAGAGAGAGAAATGCCAACATCATAAATAATTTCCCCTTACAAGTCTGCCCAAAGTTATGTCCCACTGAGCACAGCTTATTCTCAGGGAAATAGTGATAGGATTCCAGTTACCTAGAAGTAAAGCTCATTGAACTCAAGGTGACCTATTTCTGAGTACATGTTTATAGGATTGCATGGTGTATATTCTCCTATTGGACCTGATTTCCCTATAACCAAGACACTGAGTATCAGGATGGAATCAGTGATGATAACAGAGGTAATGTGGCTAGTATTTTGTTTTGGAGGTCAGGAGTTTGCCTGCTGTTTTTGCAGCTGTGAATGTTGAACAGAGAGTGCTTGATGACGTGAATTCCAGGTTTGTTGTTCCCTCCACATCTATGTGGATGGTAGGACAAAATTTCTGTATATTCCATTCTAGTGAGTTCTATGAGAACCAAAAGGACTGTAGGAGAGATAATTCGCCCTAGAAATAACTTGATATAACACACAGTGTTGAATGCCAAAGTCATTACAAGTTTAGCTTCAGTTTAGGCCCACTGTAGTAGACTAGAGATTTGATTTGAAAAAGGCAGATTTGAGGTCTAGTGAAACTGATTATGACTAATTTGTGTCAAATAGCGTCCCTTAGCTTTTAAATGATTTCAGCTGCCATTTAAAGAATGGTTCACCAAAGGCCCTACAGGGTTTTTTTAAAGGAATTATTGAGTGTCCATTGTACCAGTCAAAAGTTTAATGAGAGGAAACTGCTCCAGTGTGTATAATCCTGACATTCAGATTCTGTTGAAAATGATTTTTTTAAAAAAGGAAGACATCAAGACAGAGTTGCAAACACATTTCCAAATATTGCTATAGCAACAGTTTTTATTATCATGCCCACCATCAGAAAATACCTGAATTAAAAAGAAACATCCCTAGAACTCTATCAAAACAGATAATAATATTTTAAAATGCAACAAATCTGGAATTGCAAAAAACTGCAAATGATTTGGAAATTATCTTTTTGGTTGCAGTAACTTGCAGAAGGCATTGAAAGAGTCATAAGAAGTCATAAGAACATGGCCACACAGCCCGAAAAAAACCCACAAAAAAAGTCATAAGAATTATTTAATCACTGATTAAATTGTGTATGTCCATTTGTCTCCACTGGATGTCCAAAAGCCAGGACTGAGTGTCCATTTGGATGTACAATTCTTAATATATAAATGCCCTGAAACCCTATAACTTCTGTTCTTAAAATTCATTACTCATTTGGGTTTTAGAACGCAGAATTCTAAATTCACCTTTCCTATCTCTTATCATTCCAAAATATTACATTAAATTGTTAGTTTATGTCAAGCCTATATTTCTAAGTGATTCCATTGGTCTTGACTAGACTGTCTTTGTTGATAATAAGCAAACTCCACATGAGCAATTGGTGGAATTGGTCATAAAAAAAAGACTTACTACATGGTTTCCTGGCTGTGATAGGTTACTCTGCCTTGCACATAACCTTGTCAAAAGCAGGTGTGGTGACCTAGTAATCCAGTACTTTGTTAGACATTTATTGGACTTAGGTCTGTATTCAATTCGCAATGTAGCTGTTCGTGCCATGGGTGAATCTTGTACATGTTATAATTTTTCAGACTTGGTCCCACCTTGGTAAAATGGGAATATGAACAATTACATTCTTCTCATCTAAGGCTCAATGACAAATGAGATAGAAAATCAGTTTATGTACCAAGCCCATAATTGATCCAAACTACACAGTGTTGTTGTTTTGTGCCCTCAAGTCATTTTTTGACTTATGGCAACCCTAAGGCAAACCTATCATAGGGTTTTCTTGGCAAGTTTCTTCAGAGGGGGTTTGCCATTGCCATCCTCTAAGGTTGAGATAGTGTGACATGCCCAAGGTCATCCAGTGGGGTTTTATGCTCAAGCTGGGATTCAAACTCTGGTCTCTCAGAGTCATAGTCCGACACTCAAACCACTACAACACATTGACCTTCCAACAGCACATCAGGAACTCATAAATTCACTTACTTTGAGTGTTAGGTATACATGCAGCAAGTAGATGGCTGTTGTTGCTGCCATCATTATAGAGCAGACAGAGAAAATAAGCAAGCCAACCTCCTGGCTGCATGGAATATGCATCAACGCCTCCATTCAGACACAAATAGCTAGTATTCAAAGTATCATCCCAAATCCATGGTTACACCCTATATATCATATTACACCTGTATTAAAATCACTCCACTGGCTGCCAATTAGTTTTCAGATAAGGTACAAAGTGTTGGTTGCTGCCTCTAAAGCCCGACTTTGTTTGAGTCCATGTTACTTATGGGATTGCCTATTCCCATAAAATACGCCTTGAACACCCAATTCTTCTGGGGGACATTTGCTTCAGGCAGGCAGGACTGTCTGGCAACGGTTAACTGGATCACCTTTCTTCAGCTACCCCCAAATTGTGGAATGACCTGCAAGAAGATTTGACAGCTGGATACAATGTCTGTATTTAAAACAGCATTAAAGACCAATCTCTTCTGGCAGGCCTATCCAGATGGTTTATAAATTATGAGTTTTTAAAATTATGAATAGATTGTTTTTAATATGTGTACTTTTTAAACTCATGTTAATGCTGTTTGATTGTTTATTTTTAATTGGTGTTCATGTTTTTAACTGCATTATGTGTATATTTGTTGCTGTATTTTAATCTGTTGTTCCTCCAACAGCACAGTAGGAACTCATAGAGAGAGGTGGTTGAGAAATTTATAGTAGTAGTAGTAGTAGTAGTAGCTGCATGCAGGAACTTAAAATCATAGCATCCCCAACAGATGGCCATCAAGCCTCTATTTAAAGACCCCCAAAGAAGGAGACTCCACCACACCACAACTCACAATGTTAAATCTTCACAATCATCTAGTTCAAAGGTTTGACCCATGGTTTCCCCTAAGAATTTAATTGTAATTGATATATTGATTTTATTCTGTAATTGTTTAATACTGTTTTAAGGGTGGGGGGGATATATTTTGTATTGTATTTTATGCTGTTAACCGCCCGGATTGGGAAACCATTGGGCGGTATACAAATAAATTTTATTATTATATTATTATTATTATTATTATTATATTACTAAGAACCCTGTGGCACACCAGTGGTCACTTCTCTCCAGGATGAATAGGAGCCATTGATGAACACACTTTGGGTTCAGTCAGACAACCAATTACTAATCCACCTAACAGTTGTATTGTCTAGCCCACATTTTACTATCTTGTTTGCAAGAATATCATGGGGGGCCCTGTCAAAAGCCTTACTGAAATCAAGTTATGCTATGTCTACTGCATTCCCTTCATCTACCAAGGTGTACAACCCTGGCAGGCATGCCTATCACATGCAGCCTCCCAAGACTATTTTGATGATCAATACTGCCTCCATTTGCTCTTGTGGAAATCATGCCATTGTAACTTGTAACATTGTCACAGACATCAACAGGATGTTAGCAGAACACAAATTGTGGGAATACCATTTCAAGTTGATCAGAGAGAAGAAGGAGGAGGTACAAAATCACAGGTTTAAATCAGAGGTGGAGAAAATGCAGCCCTGGAACCACATGTGGCCCTAGGACTACTTTTTATAGATGTTGTTGCCAGGTCCCCTGCCTTGTTTGCAAAAACTTTTTTTAAATTGTTCCCATATGCAACCATCCCCTAAAGGCTGTGTCTGGCAATTTTGTTCCATGGGGGGAGGGGTGTTTTAGATACAGGAGAGGCCTTTTATCAAAAGGAAGTGATCTGCATTTTAAATTCTAGATCACCTCCTGTTAATATAACAAAAAAATTGCAGGGCCTTGAAATTGCCCAGAGAGAGCCCAAAATAAGGCAAACTTGTCCCTAGGTGTGTTAGTGTATTTTGCAATGCATTTGCAGGATATGGGGGTGTTTGGCTCTCCAAGCACTTCCGGGGGGCCAATGAGGACTCCAGCTTTCAATAGTTGCCTAGCCTGGTTTAAATCTGTAAATGGGGTGAAAGTTGTGTGGACATCAGTGTGTGTACACACATGACTGAGTGGGTGTATGTACACTTGCATGTGTGTGCATATGTGTTTATGTGCAGTGCAGCCTTAAACCCACTGCATATTGCCACCCACAAAGGTAAACAGGTTGCCCACACTTGGGTTGGTTGGTGTCAAGTTGTACTTTAAGAAAGAAATAGAGAGAAACTGAAAGATAGGAGCAACAGGACCATGGAAAAGAGAAATGATGGAAAGAGAAGGTTTAAGATCTAACAGCCAAATGACAATGCCTGAGATAGAGTTGATTCAGGAGGCTGCAACCAGGAATATCTGCACTGCATTCCATCAAGATGCAG